TATCTATCTATCTATCTATCTATCTATCTATCTATCTATCTATCTATCTATCTTTCTATCTATCTAAGAACTGCTGTTAATGGACATCTCTTTAAGTTGGGAAAATTTTCTTCTGTGATCTTTTTGAAAATATTTTTCTGGATCTTGGAGCCTGATGTCTTCTTTTTCATCTACTCCTATTATTCTTAGATTTTGTCTTTTCATGGTGTCCTTGATTTCTTGGATGTTTTGTGTTTAGAACTTTTCTGATTTTATTTTTTCTTTGAGAGACGTATCAATTTCTGCAAGTGTATCTTCAACACCTGAGATTCTCTCTTCCATCTCTTGTATTCTGTTGGTGATGCTTACCTTTGTAGTTCCTGATCTTTTCTCTATGTTCTCCAGATCCAGGTTTTTCTCTGTCTGTATATTCTTTAAATTGATTCTCATTCTGTTTTCATGTCTTGCACCATTTCCTTCATCTGTTTGAATGTGGAGTCCTACTTTTCAATGATGGCTTCTATTCTTTTGTTCGTTTCCTCTCTCTATGCCACTAATTGTGCCTCTACTTGTTTGTCTGTATTTGCCTGTATTTCTTTGAGAGCTTTGTTCATTTCTTCTTTATTTGCCTCCATTTGTGTGATCATCCTGAGTGAGGTATCCCAGAAGCAGAAAGACACACATGGTATATACTCACTTATAAGACACACATGGTATATACTCACCTATAAGATAGGATAAACATACTGAAATCTGTACACTTAAAGAAGATAAACAAGAAAGAGGACCCAGGGTAAGATGATCAATCCCCACTCAGAAAGACAAATGGGATGGACATTGGAAATAGGAGAAAACAAGTAACAGGACAGGAGCCTACCACAGAGGGCCCCTGAAAGACTATACCTAGCAGTGTATCAAAACAGATGCTGTGACTCATAACCAAACCTTGGGCAGAGTTCAGGGAATCATATGAAAGAAGGGGGAGTTAGTATTTCCTGGAGAGGACAGGAGCTCTACAAGACCAAATATATCTGGGCTCAGGGGTCTTTTCTGAGACTGTTTCTCCAACCAAGGATCATCAATGGATATAACCTAGAACCCCTGCCCAGATATAGCCCATGGTAGCTCAGTATTCAAGTGGGTTCCCTAGTTAGGGGAACAGGGACTCTCTCAGACATGAACTCAATGGCTGGCTCTTTGACCTCCCTCCCGCGAGGGAGGAGCAGCCTTGCTAGGCCACAGAAGAGGATATTGTAGTCAGCCCTGAAGATACCTGATAAGCTAGGATCAGATGGAAGTGGAGGAGGACCTCCCCCATTAGTGGACTTAGAGAGGGGCAGGAATGAGGTGAGGGAGAGAGGTAGGGTTGGGAGGGGGCTACAACTGGGATACAAAGTAAATAAACTATAATTAATATAAAAAATAATAAATAAATCCAAAAAAAGAGAATTGCTGTTAAGTACGAAACTGTCACACAAAGCAAAACACATAAGAAAAGGACCAACCCATTAAAAAATCTAGACATTGTAAATATATATGCATTCGATATTAGAACTTTTAAATATATGAGACAGAGATTGATGAACCCAATGACAGAAAAAGACAGAAACATGATAATAATAGATATTTCAATATCCAACATTCAGTAATAAACAGAAGGATTTGATAGGTCAATATGAAACAATTGGGTTTTAATAATACTAGATCAAATATATCCAACAGATACCTAAATAACAGTGCACCCAACAACAATAGAATTTAATTTCTTTTCAAGTCCATGGAACGTTTTTTGAGTTAATCATTTTATGTCACAAAGAATCTTTTAAAATATCTAATAAGAATAAAACAAATACCAAGTTTTTTGTTTGTTTGTTTGTTTGTTTTCCCCTAACCAATGTGATGAATCTAGAAACCAAAATACAAATACTGAAAAATTTCTAAAAGTTTGGGAACACTTTTGAGCAGCAGTTGGGTCAAAATATAAATAAAAGATCAGCATTTAGATAGAAACAGAACTAAAATACAACATATTAGATGTTACAGAGTTGGGGAAAGGAAGCAAAGTCCCAGGGATAGGGGAGGGTGGGGGTGGGAAGAGGAGAGGGGCCATAGGTTCAGAGTGAGCCTGGGAGCCAGCACATGCTTCGGTATGCCAATAGGCAGCTGAGTTAGCCCTTTGTCCCCAGTTTCTTTAGGACCTGATAGATGCAAAGAGACGGTAAGTTTCTCTGTTGCTTCAGTGGACCGCTCTGATTTCAGTGTGGAGATCTGGAAAACTTACTTGCAAGGGAGAATTGGGAAGCTCACACCATGGGTTGTGGATATTTATTTTTTAAAGGGATATTTTTATTTTTAGCACAAAAGTTGAAGTCGGAATTGTGATTTTTGCTTATAAATTATACAAAATTGATGTCTTTCATGCATTTATAGGCTCACATTTTTATTTAAATCACTTATAGAATTCTCTTCTCATGAAATTTCTCCAAAGGAAGTCGATCACTTTGGTTCTGTGGGTTAAACTGGGGTGAGGCGTTTCTAAGTTAGTGGCACATGCCATTGGATGCTTTGTTTGCCCCTTAGCAATCTTTTTTTTTTTTAATGGAAAAACATCATTATGGCAGTTTCATAAAAACTGCAGACAGAAACCAAGGTATATAACCCTTCCACTTCAAAGCACAGTGTTTTCCATTTTCTCTCATTGTCAATAAGGGTATCTTAAGTTCACCTTAAGGTTAGACATTTAAAACCCCCAAAACTAAGTTAAAAAAAGAAACTTTCATTTCTAAACTTATTTGTATCTGAGTTTCCAAAGTGAACATTTTCTGAATTATCATGAACTTGAAAATTCATAATTTCTGTATAAATGTGGATTTATGAGAAGAGTAATTTAAAACTTTATCATTAATAATGCTTAGTTGCTCAATACTTTCTTTGAAGAAAGAAAGTATTTGTCCACAAACAACTTGACATAACATCAGGCAAATACTGTGGCCATAGACTGTGGGTTTCGCTGCCATTTAGGCAGATGTCACAAACCGTCAAGAATGGATGGATGATCAGAAGCAAAC